ACCCCTCAGTCACAGTCACGCAGTTCATCTGTTGGTCTATCTTATGGAACTCCAATTCTGGAGACTTCACTCAGCACTCCCTCCAATCTACCTTCAGCAGATCTCTTTGCCAAAGACATCACTGAGCATTTACCTTTTGAAAATCTGCCAGATTCTGTGGGCACCTTTAACAAATTACGAGATTTACTTGTTAAAGTTAAGGAGGCAAAATCAAAGATAAAAAAATAGGTTTTATGGAATAAAAAAAGCCTTCATTCTCTGCATTGTATGTAAACTAAGTGGATTACATTTACTTAAGCACAGTTTGTACATATATAAGTGAATGTTAATGTTTTAATTTGGATATGAAATGTCCAGTGGGTGATTTGCAAGGGTGAATTTTAGAAGTCCCTTTTTAGTGAAAGGGTGTTAGCAAGTCCCATAAAAAATATCCTTTTTTTTTAGTATTTTATTACATTTTGTACTTAATGGTTAGTGTTTGAAAGATTTTTTAAACTAATACATCCCAGGTTTAGGGTAATAGCTATAATTTCAACATTTTGTGCAGCTGTCCACTGGGACCTTTTAAAATACCATGTTCATTGCTATCAGGGAAGATGTTTAAAATATTTTATACATTTTAAAAATATATTAAGATCAGCAGGGATAAGTTTCCCCAATTACAGATGCAATGGTTTTATAATTTTAACATACAGCAAACTAATAATGCATACGTTTTGGAACACTTACCAAAAATTGAAAACACACACAATACTTCAGTCAAGAATATTTTTATTTTATCTGTATAAAATAAAAATTACAAGAACTTTTGATATTTCACCTAACACTTTCTGATGAACAGGGGTTTTCTGAATAGATTGTTGAAGACAACCCATTTGTGGTACAGATTAAAATATTTAGAAAGATACCAGACTTACAAATATGCAAAGTGTCAAGGCAAAATGGTCAAATAAACACTTTTCTGTGAGATCACTTTAGTATTGTGTTTCAGGTACCAGGAGTTTTTTGTCAAAACTTGTCATAATACTGATTATGACCATTTTCAGGTGAAAATCCAATACGTCATTGCACTACGTCACCACAGAAATGACCAACCTTGACAATATATCAACTTATGACTTCACAAGTTGTATGTTCCTTTTCAAATTAAAAAAAAAAAAAAAGAAAAGAAATACACATGCACACTCATAACATTGGAAAGCAGACATGAATAAACAAACAAATAAATAACCCATTCACCTTCTCAAGATGCCTTTGAGATATACATGATACCTAAACCTTCCCCATTGTATACATAATATCTGACAAAAATATATAAATATATGTATGGGTGAAGAAGTCAAAACAACCCTCATTCATTTTTGACTTGGCAGTAAACCGAGTGTTATTTTGGGCTTATATTATTGTGAAGGGCGAACACTAATACCAAGTTAAATATAAATGCCTCGTTTTACACCTATGACAGTTTGGGTCACATTTATTTTTGAAACTGTAGACTTATAAGATAGCATTTGGACTAAAATTTATTAACTATCTTAGATTGCAATTTGTCTTGAATTCCAAATATTCCAACATCAAAATTAAATTGATCTTAAATATACATATGTAGGCAATATGAAGAAATTTCCTTTCGTGCCTGTCAGTTAAAGCCATTTTCTTCAAGGATCCAACTTATGAGACGGGTGGTGCAGGAGGATGGTTATTTGGTCCCTGCAACAGCAAATTCAAATTACTTAGTAGCAATTCACAGTCACATTTTCATGCAATTTCCAGTTTAAATTAATATCTATGTTTTAGAATTTGTTACAAAAAGAAAAGAAGCAGATTTAAAATCGACTTCTAAAGCCCTGCAAAATGTTGTTAAAATGTGCATAGAATTTGCATTTTTCATGCACCAGTAGAGCATCTATGACTACTATAGCCAAATGTTTGTGATATATACATATTTTAATGGACTACACATTATATTCAACTGAGGTGACATATCCTTACATTATTGCCATTTCCACTTGGTTTTTGGTCTCCTCTATTCCTGAGACTGGCTGGTCTTAGAAGAAACAGAGCTGTGGCAATCACAAGCCATGCCATCATGATCATCATCACATTGAAACCACCATCAGCAGGGTTACCATTGGGCCCTGGCACTGAAGTGCAAATGAAATGACCTTTAATTACAATTTCAAAACAATGAGTGAGAATTAAACGAATGACTTTTTTCTAAGTTTGTCTCTATCTGTGACTCAAGGTTGAGTGCCTGTTTGTGAGTTTTCAAACATTTCATAGTGCACATTTAATGTGATTTAAATCACTTATGACTTGGTTGCCTTTTCATTCCATTCTAGGTCCTAGATCCACTTAACTGAGCATATTACAAACCCTCATGCTATCATCTGGACACCATGCTCCCTCATACAGGATGTGGGGCACTGAACAGGACTATTATCATTATTATTATTATCCTACATATATAAATCGTAGATAGAGAGCATTTAAATGTAAAAATAAATAAATAAATAAATAAATAAATTCTGAGCTCAATAAATTATGATTATAACTGCAAATGCAACAAAATAGCCCAACCTCAACACTGATGAGAAATCACTACTTCAATTGTGATGTTTACATTTACAAACTGATTTGTGTTTAAGGATTTCAAAATTTAATTTGCTATCTTACAAGAAGTTTAAACTAAAATGCATATGTAAAAGCACTTGTTAAAATCTAAACATTTCCATAAACATCTGATTATAAATATGGGGGAGAGGGAGGCAGGTACTATGCCAAAATGGTTCACAAGATTTGAAGAATAAGGGGACTTGCAGCCATGTGCATAGCTGCCACCAGGTATGCATACAATAAAATTACAACAGGTTTGAACAAACAAGCATATAAACTTTTCGACAAAGCCCCGAGAAAAAATGTTAAACCTTGCCAATGGAAATTTACTATGTTGACCTGTAAGGAAGAGCAGTGCTTACCAAAAACATTCTGTCAAATATTGAGGAAAATCATTATTATTATTATTATATACGTTGCCCGGTTACATAATACCCTAAATATGTCAAAAGGACATTAACCAGCTTATGTGAATTGTTAGAAAAATCCAGTGCCAAACTAAATGTACTAATAGCCTATCAAAATGGTCTCAAGATAATGACATTTTAAAATTCTTAACTAGCATGGACTGCACTTGTGTATTTATACACTTTTATCTAGATATAATGACTACTAAAAATAACATTCTGTGAGTTATTGCCATGACACAAAAAATAGGTACATTTGCTAAAGAGGAAACTTTATTCTTTTAACAATTACAGATTAACTTCAGTATGGGGTTTTATCTATATGCACCAGTCATTTTGCCCATGACAGATAAGTGGTCTGGGCACTATAATTATGCTAATCTAGTCACACTGTATGAATTCATGACTCCACTCCCTTTAAATCACTAGTGCCTGTGATGAAGTCATTTCCAAACACATCCTGTAAAATCCATAACACAAATTATTCATATATACTTACTATCTTGTACACACTCATTGTCAGTGCAATATGACTGGGAATTCCTCAACTGAAACAATAATGTTTACTACAGAAAGAATTCCATGTTACAGGAGATATATTTTTAATCTATTGGTAAATATGATTTGATTTCATAATACTCAACACAATTGCAAATTCAAACAGATGAAAATGTTGGTTGCAAAAGTATTTTAATAAAGTACTGTTTTATTAATAAATCTGCCAATAAATGTTTTAAATATAAGCAGTTGTTATTCCATCAAGTTTATTTTACTGCCAAGTGTGAACATAGACTTCAATGACTATTATGAAGAAAACTAACCATCCAGCACAAAAAGAAACCAAAAGATATTAATTACCAGATTGATGAGTCTCTGCATAGCACTCTCATGGTTCCAAACACATTCACATGGATCAAAGTCAGCCATGGTGACAGCTGCAATGGAAATAAAAGCTACAACATATTGTAAATTTGCAAGCATGATCACATTAACAATACAAATTATGACACAACCTTGTCAAAATCAGATTGACAACAAAACGTTATTAACAACTCTTCCCCCACCTTACTGTTCTTAATATATTTACAACAAAGTTAACTATGTGCCAGCAAAAATAATTTTGATGCCATTTTGAGCTTAAAAAGCAAAGATAATACCGTCTAAAAACATGTAATACAGAAAATACATGGCAAGTCATTTAAATGAAGTGAAATCAGACTTTTAAAATTAATTCACATTTAATAATGTTTCAAAAATGCAAACAGAAAAATAAGTAAATAGACCTCAACCATGTTTTATTGCTATTTACGTTCTACTCAGTATGCTTCACAATTATTTTGGACATTGCGATGCAGTCTGCAAAATTTAAATCCCCAAGCTATGCATTTTGATGAAATTGCGGGACCAGCAAAGCTGCAGGCAAAAGAGACTTTTTAAGTAATGGGGGCCTCTAAAACATTTAACTGATGCAGAGAACTTGCACTAAATGCGGGACTATCCCGAATAAAATGGCAAATTTGCAAGCACATAAAATTGAAAAAAAATTCTTACTTTCACTGTCAAGGTCGATATTTAGGTATGTAAATGTGTACAAGCTACAGTTTCACTTTGAAAACGTACGGATAAAACCCCATTCAATAAAAACTGTCGGTGTAATCGATTTTACCAGACACATCATCGATTTGCTACTCCTCAGCCGTCAAGTGTCTGTGACCTCAAGCTGGCTTTGAGTTACAAAAACATTGAATTGTCCAGTATTTCCACATCCTCCCAAAAAAGCTGAGGAAATTAGATATAAACCATTGGTTCACTCATGTTAAAGGCCCTACCTTTACGACTGACTAAGAGCCAGCGAACGCCCCTCTGCTAGGAATATAGTTACTTTTTCAAAGGACCTTTGAAGTAACGACACGTCTCCTTCTCCAATATTTTGTTCCCCAATGATGCCCGGATGCGGATGTAGCAATCTCGATTTGAAATCACCCGGGGAACGTGAAGAGGAAAATTATGTTCCTCTCAAAACTCCAGAGAAATGATTTTCGCCAGTCTATTTGACATCCAGGTCAGTTATCATTATATTGTTATCAGGTAAATTATCATTATAAATTGTTACACGAATTATCTAAGCATAAAAGGGGCATATATATTATTAAGAGAGTTGTTTTAGATGCAGATACATTTAATACATGTACAAACTAAGTAAATTGTTGCCCCAGTTTTCGGATAGTCCCGCCTCCCCGTGTGTAGTCCCAATGGAGCCGAGATATAATGACTGTACCCCCGCAGGGACGACGCGCGGGGAGGCGTGTGAGAGGCGGAGAGACTATTTAAAGATTAGGCGGTTTTCCTTTCATGTACGTCCGCCATATTTAGTCCCCAGGATTTGTAAGGCCTGGCTCAATTCGTTGTGAATGCGGTCTAATAATGTTTTCTAGACTCAAGTCGTTGTACAACGACTTGAGTCTAGAATACATTATTAATCTACCATTGTGCTGAAAGGTAAACCCCCATCAAAATCAGTTTAGTATTTTAAAATGAATTTTAAACATTTGTTATATTAAACCTCTGTCCAATTTTCAGCTTTCTCATGCGGATTTATATTTTTCAGGTCACATAATGGACAAAATCAGTCAAAACTTCTGTCAAGATATGATGACAGGAGCTGAATCTATGCACCAAAGAACTGGAGCTGTGAACTTAGATGACCAAATGCTAGCCATACAGCAGACTATTCAGAGGTGTGATCCACTTCCAGAGTTAAAAGAGATGCTGAATGCTATTGGCAGTAACAATAAACAGGTTGTCACTCAGTGGATGGGTGCAGATGGCTTGGATTGCATGCACCATGCAATTTTGGCTGGTAACACAGAAGCTGTCATGTACTTTCACTTGCATGGATATTTTTCTACTCCTCATAAACCCAGATGTAATGACTACCTCCAGTTAGCCTGTTACACTGGTCATACTGCCATTGTTGGGTTTCTTACAGAGGAAAGTCAAACAAATGATCTTCTAATGGGTCACCTGTGCTATCCGAATTTATGTACATGTGAGTATAATTCTAAGCCCCCAATATATGAAAGGACAGCATGTATGCTTACACCTCTGGATGCAGCAGCAAAGGGAGATCAGCTGAGATGTGTACAGCTGCTGCTTTTGTCCAAGTTTGTAAGATCCAGGAGTAGAAGTTTGATTGAACGTGCATGCATTATAGGATCAAGTGAAGCCCTGGAGTTGATTCTGAGAAAACACCCAGACATCAGCTCGGAGGAGAAGCAAGGGGCAGTTGAAGAAGCCATCAAGAGAAGGCAGGCTAAATGTTTGGAGATTCTGTTTTATTACGGTGCTAATATACAGGGTTTATTTCATGGTGCACATCCTCTGACTGTTCTGTTTAGTGCATCTGATGGTTACTTGCCTTATAGCCAGAGAAACAAACACTTGTTAGAAGTGACTAAAGTTTTGTTGGATAATGGAGTAACCTGTAGTTCTGCTTTAGTGAAGAACACTGATTACACAACAAGTCCCATTGCAACACTTATCTACCAGGCCATGTTAAAAATATGGCAGTTCAATGAATATTCTGAGGAACACTTCAAGTGCTTAGAGCTGATACTTCATTACAAATTTATTATGGAATCTCCTGAATTTTGTGAAATTTTGAAGAATCTGTTTGGATACTGTCCTCCAGAACATTTCAAGGTGTATTCTGAGACAGTCATCCAGTACTTGTCCTTGTTGCTCAATGGACATGTAGACCAGCTGTTAGTCGTTAATCACTTTCATCTCTTGCTAAGACTTATGACATGTGTAAGTGGATTAACTGGTGACAGAAATGTAACAGAAAATACAGTTGATTTCTTTCAGAGATTAATTCTCCTTTTTATAAGGAATGGTGCTGATCCAGATTTAGGGTTCAAAATCCAGGTCAACGATGAAGAAAAATGGACTGTTGATGCTGAAGCAAGGGTTGTGGGTGAGGTTGGTGAGACAGTGATCAGTGATGTGGTTGGTGACGCAGTAGTCAGTGATGAGGTTGGTGAGACAGTGGTCAGTGGTGTAGCTGGTGAGACAGTAGTCAGTGATGTGGTAAGTGAGACAGTGGCTGGGCAGGTAGTGACTGAGATTGTGTATGGCAAGGCAGATAGTAAGAAGGTGACCTTGGATGAAATCCCAATGTTATGGTTTCCTGTGAATGAATACATTGCATCCATAGACTCTAATCTAAGAATTTCTTTGACCAGATATACTGATGAACCAAAATGTGTGCATATTATATTGGACCAGTTCTTGAAACCAGTGGCATTACTGGCAGCATTCATGAAGAGAGAAAGTTTTAAAGTGGCACAGGCTGCTTTAGAAAATCCAGTTCCTTCCCTGCTTAAAGTAAGGCATAAGATTGATCCACATATGATCCATATATCTGGAGAAGGAGTAGAAGATACAGAACACTGTGATCTGCAGAGTCAAACTCATTTGTTTCAGCTGATGCCAGCAAGATACCAAAGCCTGGTCCACACTTGCAGGCTTTGTATATGGACAGCAATAGGAAGGAAGTACAGCAGTATTGAAAGGTTACCTATAGCACCTGGTCTGAAAAAGTGTTTGAAGGAAATGTTTCATGTTCAGGAGAAAAAATTGTGCGAATTCTGATAATGTGACCACTGGAAAGTAATTCTTAGCCAAAACTCCAACAACTTAATTTGATATTGAAACTGGAGTGTTAAGTATGTATGCTGATGGGCAAGTACTGTATTAAATTGGAGTCTAAAAAAAAAACAAAGTGCCAATATTTAATCTAATTTTATATCTATTAGAATGTTATCTATGACAGAAAAAATGGCTGCATGGTTGCCCAAGTCCACTATAATTGGTCTTGCATGACTTTTTCCTCTTATACTTAGATATTTATTTAAAATATAATTGTTACATCAAGGATTTATGAGAATTGCCTTTTTACATATTTTTTATTGTGTTGTCTTTTTTTATTGTTTGGTTTATTGTTTACATCATGTTATAAATAAATTCCTTATGCATTCCGTGCTTTCCATTTAAGCCCTTGAAGGTTATTTCAATAAAATGTCATCCCCTTTTTGCGTTTAAAAGGAACCTTGCAAATGAAGTGTTGTGAGAGATTGGTCAAGAACAGACTTGAGGCAGGCAGAAATGTTACTAAATGGTTGATTTGATCAAATATCATCATATAACCAAGAGACATTATCAAAACACACTTAACCACTGCTTCATCTTCTTTTAAATTAATCAAAGAGACTTTTATATTTCTTTTATTTGATGTTACTTTAGCTATGGCGTACTGATGATCGACAGGTGTCTTTAGGTCCAGTAAAGGTTAGAGTATGTATAATTTGTACATGTGGGATAAACATCAAGTTTTAAAAGCCACAAGGTGGTCCACAGAGGGTGCCAGTGCATGGATACGTGAAATGAGTCTGGAGTAAAAGTGAATATTTCCATCAACCCTGATACATATGTACTGTAAACTTTGTTTATTTTGATCATAAAAACATAAGATATAAACAACACAAACATATTTGCATTTTCTTTTTACATTAACATTTTGTATTGTCAGAATGAAGTGCTGTTAAGTTGATAAATCTGAAAAAGGGTCTACTGCTATTGAAAATATAAACCTAAGTAGATCCCCCTGCAGAACAACTGTACAAGCTCGTAGAGGGTTTGGGGTGCTGGACAGAAATTGCACTACACAGTGCACTGTCTCTTATTTAAACATTTATCACAGTTTTCAAGGTGCCTTATATCTTGGTTCTACTTTTAAAAATTAAAAATAATTGTTTTCTCCTGTAAGGTGGTACAACTTTTCATTCCACAAGAAATACATAAAGTATCTTTTCCGTACTATTGGCACTTTACTCAGGCCTTTTTAGCAGGCTCTGGCTCTCGTACCAAAGATAAAATTTTATCCAACTTGGCAATTTCCACTTCTGGTCCTTGCTCAATTTGTTGTCCCTTTTTGGCCTGAAAATAAAGGCAAATTATTTAATTAAGGGGGATTCTGAACAATCAAAAATATATTCTGGTATTGTAGTTTTGGCTTTCTATGAAGCATAAATAGATAATCATTGCTATTAATTAAAATATTTGGATACATTAATAAACTTGCAAAAGAAAAACTTACCTTTGGCATTTTTCTCAGATTTGGTGAAAGCTTCAAACTTGTCACATATCCCCTAGAAAAAATTATAATACATATGCCATAAAATATGAACAAGATATCATTATAATGAACTTCTTGCACTCTATAGAATTCTCAGAGAAAAATTAACATTTTCTTTGTAGTTTAAGCAAACTCACATACATGTTTTCATAAATTTCTCACCTGTCATCTCCAACCATAATAATGGGATGGGATGGATTGAAGCCTATGTGTGTGAGTTTGGTCTTTTTCTTGGCAACCACTGCTTGCTCACATATAGCTTCATATTTGTTGACATTCAGGTCATAAACATGCACCTTAAAAAGAATCACAAGTTTATTTTTCTATACAATCATAATCACTGTAGTTGCAATACTTGTAGACTCATAGCGACCATTCCCACAGATATTTGGATCGATCTATCTCCCTGGGGAGTCTCACTAAATTGCTGTCAAACAAACTGGCTTAAACGTCTGTCAAACTGTTAGGGGGTAATTAACTTTACCCCTTGCTGATTCGGTAGGTGTGACAGACATTTAAGCCTCTTGAGCTGATAGCAATTTAGCGTGAACCCCCAGGGAGTTAGGTCGATCCAGATGGATCGATCTAAGTATGGGAACCCAGTCATAGTCTATACTACTGCATGTATAATAATAGGTCTAAATGGAGGTCAGAATCCTACAAAAAAATACTTTTATGATGCTTTGTTTAATGACATATTAAATGTCTGGGGGTACAAATGACAATAGGGTCAAAAGTGGGGATTCTGAATTGTATGTTATATGTCCATTTCATTCATGAGCCCACCTTTCCATCTGCAGTGACAGCAGCAAATATTGTTGAAGAGTAAGGTGCCCAGGCAACATCTCCTACTGAGCTGTTCAGATCAAAAGTGAACATGGGCTCTCTGCAATGAAAAAAGAAAAATTATATGCAAGAGCAAAAGCAAATTTACTAAATTTACTTTCTAAACCCCCAAGATTCTCTTGCTGTTTGCTGTCACCAACCTCTTTAATATAATGATATATGGATAAACCACATAACCAAAAGTTGAGAGGGTTTAAAACTCACTTGATATTGTGATCCCAGATTTTCACAGTCCAGTCTGCACTACATGTGATGAATATTTTAGGGTGGTAAGGGTTCCAGGCCACTTTGTACACTGCCATATGATGAGCATCAATGGTATCCAGAAACTGACTGGAGTATGCTTTGGAGCATTTATGAAGCTTGCCCTCCTCTGTGCCCACAAGAAACAGGTAGTCTGTGTCCTTGTGGAAGTCAAAACAGGTGCCACAGCCTGAAAATGTGCAACCAAAAGATTATTATACCCCACTGTTCATCTAAAAGAAAGCTGTTTTGAAGTATATTGATTTTGCTTGATTGTAACAATCAAGGCACAAGGGTAACTGCATACCAGTAAGTTGCAATTAATATGAAATGGAAAAAAGTTTGTTAGTTTTGAAATTACATATCAGCAACCCTTTCATTTAAAAGAGAAGGCCACTGCAAGATTTCTTTGGATCAGTAGCTTTGATTGTTAAAGCAAATCTAACTTGATCAATGGATGTCTTTACCTAAACTAAATAATTGCACTCCATCAGGTCCATCCTGTGCAGCCCCCTCTAGAGTTAGCTTCAGCACATCATAGTATTCTAGTTCATTCTGAAATTAAACAATACAAACTGATACTCAATAAGTAGACGCAAAGAAATATCATACAGATAATCATAACAAATTCAACAAATGTTTTGTTTAAAATGTACATGTAGTATGTCACATTCTGAGTTGACTTACTAATTTTTCTGAGGAATAATGAACATAAACTTTTTTTTTCACCTTAACTAGTGTCCANGTTTTACTGTTTATCTTAATGCACCGTGAAAATTGTTTGGCCACATCACATATTGAAGGAAAGAGCTTTTCTAAACGCTTTTATGCATATCAGGTAGGGGACTAATCAGTTCTAGCATAGTTTTACAGTAATAGAACTGATAGATTGTTTTTACAGTCGAAAGACCACAAAGTTTTGTATGAAGTCAAATTTCAGATGTGAGAAGCGAAGTGCGTTAAATGTTCATTCCCGTGTAACATGATTTATTTGTAATTATTTTGATTCTTGATGAGCATGTCCCCTCTACCTGCCCATTATTATACGTGCTCCATTTTACAATTTTGTTGTTTTGATGATATTGATAATGTTATGGAATCCTATATGTATTCTAGATGCAAATACCCTGGTATGTCATGTTAAGTGCTGTGCTTCTTTTATTGCGGGTAGGGGTGATTGCAGTTATTTTTACTCTGACTTTGCTTTTCCTTTGCTTTGATTATTTGTTGCTTAGGTATATAAATTTGCACACGTGTTATTGAAAACATATTCAGGTGCTTGTATTTATGCACTAGTATTGGTTAAGGATATAATTATTGTCGTGCGAAATAACAATGCTATTTTAATCAAATATGAAACTATATCATAGTGATGGCTTTAATCCAGCTAAAATACCAACAAGTTTAACGGCAATTTTTGGATCAAGGCAATGTGCCATACATACCATGGCGACAGTGTCATCTACAAGTCGCATTTACTCGACCGTAGTATTATCATACCAATATTGGAACATCTGTTGCTTTAAAGCAACTGAATACAACGTTATCAGTTTTTGAAGTTTTGGTCATACATTTTTGAAACCATTCGGCTCATTGCTAATGTAAATTGTTTTGTGTACAATTTTGTTCATTTGTAATGGGAACATGTATGTCCCTTTGATTTATGTACAATATTAAGTACAAATTATGTATGTATTTTAGTTGTCCTGATTAAACTGAGTATTCAGATTTTATTTGTACTCATTATACATTATATATATTTACATATATCCTCTGTGTAGATGTGATGCTTCTCTAAAATAATATGTGGTTGGTTGTGATTTCAGTTAATCTTAAGCTAGGTTTCATTTCTATATCTTGTGCATGTTGCTTGTTAAATGAAGTTGCCTACTTTTAAATGTTAACGTATCCAGGAGACTGTTAATGCACTCGTATTGGATTAGTGTGCAAATATATATCACGCTCTGTGGCAATACTATTTTACACATGAGTGAGATTAGCCGTGTATTTCACAGTGGATTTAATCCAGCTAAAAATACTTACTTGTTTGTCGGGTCACATAGATGATATGGTGACTGTGTTATCTACAAGTCGCCTTCTCGTTCGAAGTATCGAAGTACTAATATTGCATTATCTGGTGTAAAATAACAACTGCAGACAATACCACCAGTATCAGTTAGCACATTATGATATGCCAGTAAAACGTCATTACCTTATTAAACTCCTTGTGAACGCGCATGTTTGATTTATGTATTGTTTGTTTTTTCAACCTTTGAACTGTACTGTCTCTCTATACAATAAAGTTTGATTTGTGATTCTACTGATCATAGTATGTTTTTTTTTTTTTTCATCAGGAGACTTATTCAATGGTTCCTTAAGGTTTACCGGAGCTTGTCACATATAGATAATTACAGATTAACATGTCATTTGTGGTAAATGGCCGATTACAAAAAGGGTTTAGAGGCAAAACATAACCATACATGCACCACTCGGACAGTGCGACATTAAGATTAGAAGTACCTTTCTTGGTGAGGTAACCGTAAGCAGATACGAGTTGTAATTGAGGAAACGGACGTGAAAGAGGGGCTATCCCCAATTCACGGGATTTGCCTGGATCGTAAACACGACAGCCAAAGAAGCATTTTTCTGATTGGTTATAGGTTCTTTTTTTGACTGTCCTTTGGGGAAAAAAAACTGTAGTCATCATTGTAATAAGATCTCAACGCTGTGTGAACCACCACACTGTATATTATAATGGGAAAGGTAACATGTATTTTTGATTAGACATTATAAAATAACTTGTTAGCGATTTTTTTAGCTACTCAAGACAAAATAAAAATTAAGGGGTGCAGTTCAACAAGTCATAACCTCCTAACGAATGAATCACGCTTATTGCGCCAGGAGTGCGGCACAGCTACCGCAATCAAAGAACACCCACTATCTTGTGAACGTGACGCTATGCTCACCGCGATAGTAAATAGCACAGACTATAATGATTTCATAGGCGTGAAGGCGTAAAAAAACTATGCATGAAGTCCAAACAAACACTGATGAAGTTCCCAGTTTAAGTACATTTTGCTTTAAAAAGGACATGCGCATATTGCCTCTATAGAAATGTGCTGGCACCGTTCTTTCACTGCCCGGTATGACATCCAGTGTCCGGGCCTGGATGACACCTCACCTCACTCTACAAGACTTATATACATGTATGCTGCCCTGTTTAACAACAAAATCTTCATATATTTATTGACAAGTAGGTCGACATGACGACCATGAATCTTAATAAGACACGCACCAAATGAATCCTTATGAATCCGTATCCTTTACTTCATTAAAATTTTAATATATTCTATTGATGTACGAGCTTGAATGTCTCACTTTCTTTGTACCGTAAAATATAATTGCGGATGGTTTTAAGTGTGGTGTTTATTAAAAGAAGTTAGTCCTAGAGTGTCCTATTATCTACTACATTTTAGGTCAACTGATAAGTACAAAGAAAGCCATGACATGGAGATAACTTGACAAACTTGAAGGTAAACATGATAATAACTTAAAGCAGTTTATACATATAGTTAGCTAAAAATGTGACTGCAGTGGCCATGGCGACAGCACTACCCCCAATAAAATCAAGTAATTATTTGAACATTTTATGAGTACTGATTAATTAGTCAGATAATCACTCAGGGAGAGAACCTGAAGGCAAACATGATAATCTTGAAGGTAAATATGACGCGAGAATTACTTTATATATAAGCAAAGTTTGCCGTCATTTTAACCAGAGACATATCTGCGGATATCTAGTGGAAAATCAATATGTGACCCTAATACAGAGTGGTCAGAAGTAATGAAAATGGCAAAAATAATTATAAACAAAGGTAACATATGGAAATACTCTTTAGAAATTCATTTTTGTCAGTAAAATCCCATAATTTGCTCCTTTAAAGGATAACAATTAGCCCTTTGTGTGAGATTAATATTGTACAAAAATCAAATTATAAACAATTCAAAGAGATATAATGGATTCTATTTTAACACAAAAAAGCGGTCATCGCAATTATTCTGGAATCAATGCTTGTCGTCAGATCACGTGACCTCCATAGATGGCCACCCTCTGTAATAATCACTTAAGGACAATTTTATAAGAGTTCATTACAAACAAAAAATACTTACTTTGAAAGCTGTAACAGTGGGGAAATTGTTGTTAACCCCAGGAAAATTAATTTATTTTGGCCAAAAGGAACAGTTGTTATCCCTTAAACAAGTGTAGGTACAGCGGTTTTTGTTAGAATCTACTGTTGTAGAATAAGGCCTGGTTTATTGCACTATATTTATATTCCTGATTCACTTCAAGTCCTGCAGATAACGAAAGTAATGTTTTACTGGTATTTTAATTTTGGAATAAGCAAACAGTGAAAAATCATCGAAGGAGAAAAGTATAACATAAAATGTCGAAATGTGTATCCAGTTAATGATTGATATAATAGGTTTACCACAACGGTGAACTTTACAGCTATCAAATAGATTGCACTTATTGCGCTAGGAATGCGGCGCAGCTACCGCAATCAAAGGACGCCCATATCTGGTGTACGTGACGTTATGCACATCGCGGTAGTTATAGCACTGACCATAATGTTTTCAAAGGCGTGAAGTTGTAACAATAATGTATGAAATCCAAACAAAAACTGTTGGAAATTCCAGTAAAATTAGATTTTGCTTTAAAGAGGACAAGAGTACATTGCCTCCGGAGAATATGTGGGCACCGTTGTGTCATCGTCAGGGACGACCTCCAGTATCCGGACCTGGATGATACCCCGACTGACGCTTCATGGTTTATATATGCTGTCCTGTTAAATAACAAATTCTTCATATATTTATTGAGAAGTAAGGTCGACATGACGACCATGAATCTCAATAATTCACGCCCCAACTGAACCCTCGTATTCTTATTTCAGCAAGATTTTAATGCATGTTTCTATTGATGTACGGGTTTGAATGTCTCACTATGGAAAATAATTGGGGTTCATTACAATTAAGACGTTTATTCAAAGAAGTCCTCGAGTGTCATAATATATACTGCATTCAAAGTCAACTGATAAGTACAGAAAAAGCTATGGCAATGAGAGATTCCGAAGGTAAATATAATAAACTTCAAGTTAAACATGATAAGAATTTAAAGCACATTTAGTTCGCTAAAATGTGACTGCAGTGGCCTTGATGATAGCTTTACCCCCAATAACAGCATCAAATAAAATGAACATTTTATGGCTACTGATAAGTACAAAGATACCCACGACATGGAGAGAACCTGTTCTGTAGGTGAACATGATAAACTTGAAGGTAAACATGATAAGTTAAAATGCGCGCATTACTTTATATACACATAGACTGCCTCAGCAGACTTGGGTCAGATGGAATGTTTTGCCGTGATAGGAACAAGAGGAGGTCAGATACGCTGCAGACCGAGACATGACGAAAACACTGATATGATTCCGGGATGTGACTTTTAACATGATGATTTCTAAATTATGGAGGTCCAAATAATGGTCGTAATGGTTGTTTCAAAAAGTTAGACTCTTTCTTTTCATTTAACAGACAAAAACAAAATAAAGAAACCAATATATATACCATGTGGCCCGCCACCCTAAACGAATTGTGAAGAGCAATTATCCCCTTCTCAGTTACAGCTTGACTGCATTTGAATTCGATGTTTCCTTCCAGGTTTACCTCGACGACGGTGTGGGTTATATTTTTGTCCACGTTAGTTTTTCTGTGCACAGCATTGCAAAAAAGTAATGAACTGATTATAATGAAAGTCACAGGACAGGGAGCCTATGAGCCAGTGGAAGAAGCCTAGGTCGCAACGCAAAGTGTATTACCTCGTTTTCACGCAATATGAGGGCGGAATGTTTTTGTATCGCAGCCCAGTGAAGTGTATAATAAAGACGCTGTAAGCTGGCAAGGGCTACCCGCACAGAAGATAAGGACGACATGGTTTTATTGGTTTTAGAGTCTGGGTTGGGAGATGTACGAAGCTTACAGAAGATGAATACTGCTGGGGAATTTTCAAACATGTGGAAAGAACCTTCAGATATTCATTTTGGTCAGTAAAATCCTATAAACTGTTCATTTAAATTATAACAGTTACATATGTGAGATTCATATTGTACAATAAATGCATTGTGAACAATCCAAAGAGATGAATTCTATGTAAGAAATTAATTCTGTTTAACAAAACAAAAAGAAAATTATCGCAATTACTTTGGCATCTGAGCTTGCCATCAGATCCCGTGAACTCCGTATGTAAATAAAAACACCCTCTGTAATAATCCCTTAAGGACAATTTCATAAGAGTTTATTACAAACAAAAAACACTTACTTTGGAAGCTGGAACAGATCCATTAACAGCGGGGAACCTTCAAATGAGGTTTATATTTCCCCAGATGATAAAAGCAAATAATATTGTTTGTAAAAATAA